CATTATTATGAGGGGCTAAACAATCGCCTCCACGTCAAGTCCTGTCAATACGCACACACACATTTAAGGGCAGCAGGTAGGCATCTCCCCACCATCGCCATCGTCATCTTCATCCTCACTTTGCTTACTTTTTTGGCCTAGAGAGACAGTGAAACGACTGCTGAAAAGTTGAAGGAAATTGGATAATCGGCTACTCAAACAGTGATAAATTGTTGCCTCTCCTCGCTGACAATTTTTAACTTCTTTGCTCTTGTACGAAATAAATTTATGGCACAGAGTAATAAAAATCCTTTTGGAGTCAATTTGTTTACAACCAAAGGGCTTGCAGTCGTGTTAACACTGGAAATGGAGGCTTTCTTTCTCTCTCCCTCTTGTAGATACGAAAGTCATTGACTCATCTCTGCATAAAGAGCAAAGAGAAGTTGGGGAGAAGGTGGAAGCATCACTTTGTGGAAGGAGCTGTAGGAGCCTTCTCATCGCTTTAGCCTCCAGGTATGGTTGTCAAACTACTGCCATCAAGTCCTCTCTACTGCCTCACATTACCTTTTCTAGCAAAAGAAAGGAGAGAGGTGTAGGGGAGACATGAATAGAGACAATCTCAAAACCCCAGTCGACGTTTGCATCACTACACTCGTCCTAGTAGCGATTCCCGTCGCCTTCAAAACCGATCGTTTGATAGGTGCTGCTCCTAACCACAGTGTAACAATTTCTTTGTTTTATTTATTTAAGCCACTTCAGGGTGGTGCGTTGCCATGCTTCTGTAGCATTGCTCTGAAAGCCAGTCAAAGTGGATGTGAGCGAGCACGAAAGTCCTCGCTCACGTCTATCACGTGCACCCCCAACCACGGCACTTCTAGAGAAAGAGAGAGGGCGTATGTGAAGTGGTGGAGAGGAGCCTAAGGAACACCGCATTGCGATAAACGGATTAATTCCGATTCCTTCAGTAGGAAGTGGTTGCAATCGGCTCAACATTCCTCCCTATGGAGAAGGATGAAGTAGAATGTGAGGCAATGCGGCTACTGAGTGCCCCACCTCACCTTATGTCGATGTTGGCTCATAAAGGAGCAGGACTTGATCTCCCCAGTGAGGGGCATGGAGGTGATGCAAAGTGATACGACTCATTTAAAAGTCTTTCATTGCACCCACCAGCGCACCACTCACCCCTAGCACAGCTTTTCACCCCATCTATGAGGAGTAGGTGTGGGTACCGAGGGTTACACTTGCATTAGGCACCTCAAAAGCCAACTAGTCCTCGTTTTCAGTCAAGCGAGGGGCTGTTGTCAACTCAATTTATGTGCACATTATGACACACGCGCTGAGAGGTGCATCAATGCCGAGTTTTTGCTACTGCTTCTGGTAGTGATGGTGGCGGTGACGGTGATGGTGGCGGTGGTGGCGGTGACGGTGACGGTGGCGGTGGTGGTGGTGGTGGTGGTGGTGATGAAAGGTGCTTGATTTCCAGTTGAAAGAACTCAAGCATAGACTTTCCATTGGACACCTTCACCTTTTCCTTTCTTTTCATTCCTTTTATTACACTAATTTCCTGGCTGCTGGCACAGCAGCTGATTCATGTTGGCCAGCCGTTTGGCATGGACACAACAACAGGGATTGAGATGGATGGCGAACTGTTTAGTCATGGCTTTTTGACGTAGAAAAAAGAATTGGGAAACACTTTGCTGGTTAGAATGGTGGCTTATCTCCTCCTCCCCATCACCCACCGCTGCATACAAATTTCTGCACTCCCGCCCACAATATATAGAAAATATGGCAATACAAGTGATGTAACAAAACGCTTTTCAGTTTTTTTTTCTCCCTTTTTATTAATAAAGGATTAGCTATTTGAGACAGCTAGCGTACATTGACTGATTGTGGCGCAAGTGTGGAGGGACAACGTGGACGTTCCACCAACGTCTCTAAAACGGTTCACAGCCTAGCATGGGCTGAGTCAGACCACTACACTTGTTTTTACACACGAAAACGGCGATTTTACAAGCGCTTCTGCAAAGTGCCATGGGCATCAACAAATTGATGGTCGAACAACTGAAACACCAGAGGGAAATCGATCATTTGCTTCAATTAAGGTAGCCATCGAACTTTTCACTGTCAACCATAATAGTTTCTAACTTGAAAAATGAGAGGATTTCTTCGAAGCGTACATACTACTTGCTGTGAATTATCGAGTAGGCATCGCAGAGATGAATGGAAGGAGGTCCGTACCGGACCAATCTATCCTTGGAAGGTTCGACCATCATTCTGAATTCACTAGCCATGGACAATGTTATGAACAGATCCCTTTAGGCAGCAGAAGGCAGAGGATTGGACTAATGCCCTGTTATCGAAGAGGACGGAAGATTTGGGCTTTAAGATGGTCCAAATAGCTGGAAGCAGGAGGGAGACTGGTATAGCTGCCTCTCATGCAGGCAGTCAAATGAAGAGAGGACAACCTTATGTACAGATATTTTTGGTTACAGCAAGTCCAGTCTTACTCTACTCCGATTTAGACGGCCCTTATGAAGTTACAGCCTCTAACACCGGAACCGGTTAGTCGTTTCGCATAGGCTCGCATACAGAAAAGTCATTTTCCTTCCCAACTCCTTACAAACCTTTGTCTTCTTCTCCACCTAGCCCTAAACAACACCACTTTCCTCCTCCTCCTCCTCCTCCTCCTCCTCCTGCTCCTCAAGTCGGCTCAGGCTTGCCAACGGAAAGGTGGTCAAAGCTTGTGTGTAAAAATGACGGGAAAATTGGGAAGGAAAAAGCGAAAATTAACTGCTGTTGTTGCAGCGCCATGGTAAGAGCATTTTGCAATCGCCAAATTTCTCCCCTTTTTACCTAAATTGCTCTAACGCCTTCCCTCACACTGCTTGGTGTGTTCCACTTGCATGACACCAGAGCCTTCGAAAACGCCAAATCATGATGCCATTTAGTCTACTCTTTTGCGACATATATTTTCTCCACTCCTGCCCCTCCCTTCCTTACCCGTCAGAAATCGGCGCCATTAAATCGAGCCAAAATGCCGTTACAAAGCCATAAAAGTGGGAAAAAAATTAGCCAAACTAAAAGGATTGTGGGTCACGCCAGGATGACCTCAGACATGGGTCAAGCGTCTGGTGGCGCAACGCAAAGCCGCCTGCAATTTAATCGCCTCTCCATCAAATCGTGTCACAGGCGCGAGCAGCATGCTAGCGGACAAGTTTAAAATGAAGTGAGCTCGGAGATAACGCAGCGGTCTGAATTGTGCACAAAGGAAACGAAAAATTCTTATCTGATGTGTATTTCGGTGGCCACACACCTCATCGTAACAGTAGAAGCACCTTTTCTATCCTAGTTTAAACAAAAGGAGGTCCCAACGTAGCCGAATGGAGACAGTCACCTTCGTAACCTCTCACCCCCAGCAAATCGGCTTGTAGCCATTTGGAGGCTTGCTTTCCTCCTCCTTCTCCTCCAGGAATGGAGAGAAATGCAGAGTTGATAAATGTATGGGAGATAGAGAACCGCCTTTCTTAAAAAGCTCCACAAAAGTGTGGTGCCTGTCCGGTCGCTTTAGCTTTACGACTTGATCATTGAGCAGGTGGTAGTGAAAGCGACTTTTAGGCTAGCATAATGGGAGGAGAAGGGACCAAGTCGAGGTATCAAAAGCGGTGCAATTACGCTCCAGTTGGCATCAAGTTGTACTTCCTTAACCCCATTTCATCCAGGTCTTTAAAATAGACATTTGTTCGTCTCCCATTTTGCTAGGCCCTAAGGTGGTCATTCACATAATAGTCCAGGCAGCTAGGTCAAAGATGTATAAAATTACTCTATTACTAGTTGCTAAAGGGAACTGAGCATAAAAGTAGCAGTTCGGCAGTCGCAACCAAAGTGGAGGTGCTGAAACGCAAGGGGATTCACTCATCCTCCATTGCGAGCCACGGACCAGATTGATGTGAGTCACAAACTGTCAGGCGAGTTATTGCCTCGGCCACCTGTCAATAGCCCTCCTGCTTCCCGTATTTTTGTTTTGGTATAACAAGCAAAGGAAAACAAAATATTTCCTTTATTGCTTTGGCAGAAGTTGAAGCCTTACAGGAGGGCTGCGTTATGTTCCCTTCCCTTTGGCTGAGCAAGTGGTTGTATTTGGATAAAAGTCGCGCTACTGTAGCTCAAGTCAGAAGTAGTTAACGTGATTAAGAATGTAGTTTTTTTGGACAATAAGCAGATTGTTGAAATGACTCAGACACGAGGTCACTTTTAACCCAAACTAACCTCCACCGCACTTGTAGTTTTGTGGGAGGAAGTTGCTTCGTTAAGCTCAAAGTAAAGCTGATCTGTTGTGGAGAAGTAGGTGACAATTTGTGGTGCCGTC